AAAGGCTTGTTTAGGCTCGCGAGCATAATCAAACTTAGTGGCATAGGCTCGAGCTTGTTTAATAAACGAGCTTAATATTAAGCTCGAGCTCGGCTCGGGCTCGTTTAAAACCGGGTTCGAGTCGAGCTTTTAACGAGCCGATCCCGAGTAGCTTGGCTCGTTTGCACCCCTATGCGTAAGAACCCGGAGGGGGGTTTTTCACCTATAAACACCAACCCAAAATCTAGTGATTGTTTTATTATTATTATTATTATTATTATTATTATTATTATTATTATTATTATTATTATTATTATTTTTGAACGGCAAATACAAATATATACTAACTAAACTACTTTTAAATTATTCCATCTATATCTACAGACTTCAACTCTCGATCTCAAAGAGAAAGGACAACAAATGATACTGTTTGGCTATAAGCCATTTAGTTAGTGATTGTGTTGTGGAATGGAGGTTTCTAGGGATCTTTACGGAATGGTTTTCTTTTGTTCATTAGTGAACTCCGTTTCTAAAATCTAGTGATTGTGTTATGGAGTGGTTAAGGTGCTCTTTGTTTTTTTTTTTTTAAATCTCCTCAAACCATTTTTGCTGCATGACGCAGCACACACACAACACTTGCTCTCTCGCAATAGTTTTTTTTTTTTTTTTTTAAGACTTCAGATTATAAAACCTCTGTATGTTTTGCACAATATTTGACCTGCCTCTTCAAAACTTTTTACCTTCATTTTTCCTAGTGGTTTTTTTCTTTAGAAATTTGGTATAGCTTATTGTCATTTTGCATAATATGGAACTCGAAGATAAGGGTCGGACTATCTGTATGTATAACCCGAATGATGTATTTCATCCACCTGCACAAATACAAGTTGATAGTCCGGAATACTACACAAAATTTATGGAAATACAAAACTCATAAACGCAAAACAATTTCGTTAAGATTTGACATAACACATTTATGGGAGTCAACATAACCAAGACGAGTTGGATCCAATTTTAGTTTTTAAAATTTTTAATTTAAGTGTAATATTATTTTTAATTTTTTGTTTTTTAAAGTTTTTTTTAGATTAATTTTTTATTTCACTTTTAGTAATTTACTTTTAATTTGGTTTAATGGAATTTTCATTTTCATTTAAAAATCTTGTACTTGTTTAAAACTGAGTATTTAAAAAACTAAAAAATAAAAATATTTAGGGAGTGTTTGGATAGGAAAAAAAGATGTGCTTATTACTTATTCCCACAATAAGCTAATTTAAGTGTTTGGATAAAATCCAGCTTATTAGGCTAAATAAGCTAATTTTAATATGCATCTCTCCCCATGCTTATTACTTATTGCATATTCTCACTAAAAATAAACTATAAACAATAAGCTAAATAGCTAATCCAAACACCCCATAATAATGTGAAGTGATGAGTATTTCTTAATTAAAGTAAGTATCACTAAGAATGGAGTGAAACTAATGTGCATTCTAGACCATTCTTTATAGTGTAAGGAAAAACAACTTCCACAAAGAACACGGTATATGTGGATCTTATTGTTGTTCCAAAAGCAATCATTTAAAGTTAATGTAAATCACAAAGAAATCCTACGATCATCTGCAACTTAATTTTCATTTTTTTTTATAAAAAAAAAGAGTAAATAGTGTTTCATTTCCAACCTTATTTTATTTTTTATTTCATTTTTATCTCCAAAAAGTATATTTCATTCTTTTAATTTATATAAATTGTCAAATACACCTCTTCTATTAATTTGGTTTTAACAAATATATAATCTATATTTTTTCATTACAGTAATATTAAATAAATAAAATTATATTTATAATATGTAATTATAAGCTTTTGTAAAATACGTTATTGTGTTTTAAAATTTTCAATATGTATTTAAATATTAATATGAATTTGATAAATAAAAAGAAAATTTATATTTATAATTAATTAATATAATTTAATATATAACACAATATTATAACACCGAATATGGTTTTATACTATTCATTTCCTTCAAAATAGAGGAAGAAATGCGGTAGAATTGGAAAGGAATAGGGAAAAAAATGAAGGAAAAAATGAAGAATGAGAGTGGATTGGAGATGCTCTAAGTGTAAACAATGTCAACAAAAAACACCGTTAATCTGTTATAGCTCGTTCTAAGTTAGTCTCATTTACTTTATATTTTTTACAGAATTTTTTTCATGTAAATACCCCATGTTTTTTTTTTTTTTTTTTTTTTTTTTTTTTTTTTACATTCTTTTTACTCTCATATTCTCTCATTATATGATATTACCTTTTTTATTAAAGTTTGTAAATTCTTTCTCTCTCATATTCTCTCATTATATGATATTACCTTTTTTTATTCAAGTTTACATATTCTTTTTGGTATTCATGGTAATGTAATATTAAGTCTCAAGAAAAGTCATAATATTTTATCATAATTTACGAAAAGTTTCAAACTATAATTTGTTTACGAAAAAACATGAACTATCGGTAAAAATGACGATTTGACCCATTGTTCCCGATTTATCAGTTTCATTACTTACCTATTCCATTAAAGTCAATTATTTTACCATAATTTACGAATAAGTCTCAAAATAAAATTAAGTGATGATTTGACAATTTTTTCCATTTAACATATATTTTACTGGTTTCATTGCTAACATGGACGACTATTCATTAAATGAGTTGATAAGAGAAGTACGGTGGGTTATATAATGCTACGTTTGTCGTAAAATTTTATATTCATCTTATCGTCTCATTTATGACTATATATCCATGTCAGCAAAGAAACCAATAAGATGTGTGTTTCTGGAAAAAATGGGTGACAAATGAGCTGATGAGATGGATATACTGGGTTACATAAGATTAGATAGACAATTTGGAATTTCTTATATACTAAAAAAATGACGAAGTTGTTGCTAGTTTATATAATTATTGCAGTATTCATTGGATGTATGTTATATTCCAAAAAATATATAATACATCAAGATATCAAGTTTTATGGTAAACGTAACATTATATAACCTAACATATCCATCTCATTAGCTCATTTAATAAGTATGTATCTAAGTTAACAATGTTATATGAAGAAAATGGTCAAATCATCAATTATTTTAAGTTGAGACTTATTCGTAAATTATGGTAAAATAAATCGACTTTAATTTAATGAAACCATGTAAGTAATGAAATCAAATCGTCATATTTACTAGTAATTTATGTTTTTTCATAAACAAATTTTAATTTAAGATTTTTTTGTAATCTGAGTAAAATATTAGGATTTTTCTGAAGATTTTCCTTATATAATTTTAAAGTTTAGTATTCTCAAGCGGTACACCTACTGCAAAGACTGTTGAACTAAACCGTTTAGACTGAAAAAGCGGACCAAATAAAACACAAACTAAGATTGGTCTGAGACCTAATACCTCTCTTGACCTTTTGCCCAATATATAAAAAAACAAAATCAGACTATCCTAAATTAATCTAACTTGAGACCAATTTGTTCTATCTCTAAGCCAACAAAAAAAAGGCTTCAAAACCTCAGTCTCATAAAAATAGAATAGGGTATGAGGTAGGGTGGTCAACAACCTTAACTTTTTCAAATAAGACATTTGAAAACATAAAGAAAAAGAAGTAAAAAGGAAAGAAAAAAAAGAAAAAGAAAAAGGGGAGTGAGACACAATAAGATAACATGCAAATTAAATGTTAAACAACCATAAAAAAATAATTAAATAAAAAGTAAATTTCAGAAATATGGTCATTGTGGTTTTGGTTTGAATCACAAATCCAACATTTGAAAAGTTGTTAGGTAGTGTGTCCTCGTGGTTTCAAAATATGGTTTTGGTCCATAATCAATATAAAAGAAAAAGACTATTATATCATTTTTAATATATATATATATATATATATTACTTTTCTTTTTTACATATTTATAATTAATAATAGTAGAAATTTAAGAATCCCCACTCACCCCATCGTCTACATCTCCAAACCGCTCCAATGGCATTCTCACGACTAAAGTGATTGTTAGTGCATAATCATCATGATTGTGGTTTTGATTGTCGGAGGGAGGAATATGAAGATGGTGATTTATTAAAGAAAAAATGGGTTGGATGGAGGATAGTGTGGGTGGTCAGACCATATTAAAATAATAATTTATAACTAATTATTAGATAAAGAAAACCTAAAGTTAATTACATAAGAAAATTGGGTGTGGGCAAAACCAACATTTTTTTTGACATTGACATCTAAAAACGGCGTGACGAAGGGGGAACACCCCCTTCTCGTTATGTTGCCCTTCGTTGAAACGACAATGATCGATAACACACACACATACACATATATATATATATATATATATATATATATATATATATATATATATATATATATATATATATAACTATTTGACCGTTGAAAAATGGTAATAATTAAAAAAAATTTCTTTACCTATAAATATATACTACAATCAAATTCTTTTTAATTTTAATCACCCATTCTCTCTCTATTCCATAAACTTTCAATAATTCCAAAAAAAAATGAATCCGTTCAATGATAATGATGACGATGATATCTCTGTCTCTATGATGTACGAGTATTGCACGAACGTGTTAATACAACAAAATCTAGCTTCTCTATTAACCAGACGTGCGCCGTTAAATAGAGATCGCGAAGAAAGGCACAAACGTCTAGTTCACCATTATTTTGAAGATGATTATGTCTATCATCCACACGATTTCAAAGGAAACTTTCGTTTGTGGAAAAATGTTTTTGTTCGGATAGCCACACCTTGAAAAGCAGATATTATTTATTTCATATATAGTTTTTACATAATTTAAACACATCGTTTCTTTCAAATATAACTTTTACATATTGAATATACGTTTAGGTATGAATTTTTCCAAATGAGATATGATGTTAGAGGTAAACGATGATTCACATAATTGTAGAAATGTACTGTTGCAATTAAGCTTATGGAAATGGGAGAGTCGCCTGATTTGATTGACGATTATATGAGAATGTTTGAGAGAATTGCAAGAGAAAGTTTGTATAGATTGGCGAGAGGTGTTGTCGAAACATTCAGTGACGTTTATTTGCACAAACCTTCGTTGAATGATATACAACAACTATATGCAGTGCATGAAGAAAGACACGGTTTTCCAGGTATGATTGGAAGCATAGATTGTACACATTGGAAATGGAGAAATTGTCTTGTGGCGTGGAAAGATCTGTACACAAGTGATCATCATGGAATGCCTTCGTTGGTATTAGATGTTGTTGCTTCCTAAGATTTATGGATTTGACATGTTTTTTTCTGGGTTGCAGCTTTGAAAGACGACATGAACGTTCTTGATCAATCACCAATATTCGACGATATTTTGTCAGGAGAGACACCGAATGCTCATTTCACAGTAAATGTAAATGAACATAAGTTTGAGTATTAACTTACGGATATAATATATCCAAAAAATTCCGCATTCTTGAAAGCGTTTCGACATCTAGTGGAACCAAGAGACAAATTTTTCAAGAGAAAATAGGAAGGAGCACGTAAGGATGTGGAACGTGCTTTTAGAGTTCTAAAGTCGAAATGACCTATAGTTGAACATGCGACACGACCATATCAGTTAGACGTTCTACAAGATTTTATGTATGCATGTATCATAATACATAACATGATGATTGAAGATAAATGAGGAAATATTGTTGAGTATTTAACTTCGGAGCCCAAACACATGCAATTTCAACCCAGGACAGCGAAACATTTACATAGGGTCGTCGATATTCAAGACGCACGAAAACACAAACAACTTTGAGAAAATTTGACTGGTTTTATGTACGATGGAAATTAAAATGAATAAATTAGGGACAAAATTGTAATTTTTTTTAAATGTTTTTTTTAGATTTTTAAATGTTATGTTTATTTAAAAAAATAAGTTTTATTTAATAACATGTTTTAATTAAATTTGTTTCTATAAATAAACAAAATTAAATCGAAAATAATAATAATAAATAATGACATGTAGTGTTATAACTAATTGTCACTTTTCCCAATTTGATATTATAACATGTATGATAACTAGTTGTCAATTTTATCAATTTGATATTATAAATAGTTGCTTACACCCACTAATTCAACATGATACAATCTTTTCATATAGATAAAAAGCAAATGTTCTAAATTAATAAAACCATAAAAACACAACCTATCACTTTTTAAAAAATTAGATCGAACTTATAACCAAACCCTAAGGTTTGAGGGAGTGGCCTCGCCACCCCTCTTGCCCAAAGGCTTGTTATTAGATGCTATCCAATCCCCACCAACTCGCTAAGGGAGGTGCGAGGAACAAATCGTCAAGAAGTTAGCGACATGAGAGAGAATGAAGAGATGAAATCTGATTGACTATTTCCTTTTTCTATTATTATATTTTTTTTCGTGATTCTTTGCTGTTTTCTTCCCTAATCTCCTATCCACACACTTTCAGTTTTTCACTTGGTTTTGGAAAAAATTGCGATAGGTAATAAGCTTGGAAATGGAAAATGGTAGTCTATAGCTGTAATCAATTGTGGGAGGAAGAAGACACCAGAATCTTAATTTGATAGAAATGAACCTCCAAAAATCCTAGACTTACACATCACACCCCATCTTAATTCCTCTCACAAACTACAACTTTCTGAAATTACCAAAAGAACCCAGCACTTAAATATTATGTAATTAGTTTATATTATATTAATTTATAGTGGTTTTAAAAAAATAAATTTTAATTAATATTTATGCATAAAAATTGTTTGTGTAATAAAATAAAGTAATTTAATTAAATTTAAAAATATATATAAAAAATAGTGTGTTAAGAGTGTTACCACTCCCTACCAAATGCTAAGATTAAGTGTTAAATGGAGAAACATGACGTGACACTAAAAATACTGATGTAGCTAGGTGTTAGAAGTATTACCACTCCCTTTAACCTAATTAAAAGAAGTTCCACCTAGGTTTTTGGGCCCATTTTCCACATGCTCTTGGGATGGATAAATATGAGTTGCATAAAAAACAAACCCATCGCCTTCCTTCAACAACTGTCAAACAAGAAACATATGGAGTGCTGTTTTTTCATAATAGACCATTAAACTCATATTTGACCTGCCAATTAAGTTATTATGCTCGAATTTATAAGGTTGCCCGGTAACAAGACTGACATGTTATTTATAATTAATTTATCTTTATATTTTGGGACCACGTAGGCAATAATATATTTTGGTATTTATAATTATAATTAATTTTTTGACCTTGGATATATTGGTCGTCTCTTTCTTCTTCTTGCCTCCTCCTATGCTTCTTCTTCACGCATCCTTCTAATCTTTGGAAGTGGGTTCCGATATTTGGTGGTTTCCGATTCTGATTTGCTTCTAGTTTTTGATTTCCTGCTTCTAGGCTCTTTTTACCAATTTGCTAATTCCGATTCTGATTTGTTGGATTAGGTTGACGGGTTCAATGGAGGAGACGACGTTTGCCATTTATCTGGCGCTTACAAATCGTCGGAATCCCTGATTCCCACCGTTGACTGCTTCACCATCGGTGATTTCACCATCTGTTTTTCTAGAACAGGTCGAAGCTTCAATTTATGTAAATTTTTTGCTGAAAAGTTCTTCTAGTCATTCTCCATCGTCCCTTTCTGTGGACTCCTTCCATACCTCAAGTTCTTCGACCTCACATACCACAAATAGGTATATCAAGTTCCGATTTTTATTACGATTTTAGATTAGATAATGGATTTTGTTCTTGATTTGGACTTTTTCACGATTTCCCAATTTCAAATTTTGGTTTTTGTTCTGATTTTGATTCCGACTTGTGCATCTGGGAATTCGTTTTGTTCGAATTTGATTCCAGTTTTTGCATCCACGAATTCGTTTTCTTCCATATTTGTTGCACAAACTTCGTTTTTTACATCTAGGTTTCTTTGATTTGGATAGTATTCATTTTTCCCATCTGTGTGTTTTAACCTCTAAAGGAAAAAAATAAGAATCATGCTTCATATTACAATATGAATCGTTGAATGCTTTGATTTTTATTTTGCAGATTAAGTAAAGAATTTGGTATCCGATTTGTGTTCTCTTTCAAGGACCCATATGAACGACTGGTTTATGATTTACGATTTCTGGAACTACTAGGGAGACTGACATTGCAGGTCAGATTTATCTGACTTGGAGACAGATTTTTGGGTGGTTGTTTATTTCTAGTTTCCGGTTAAGAGTGCCAATTTTGGGGAAGTGCTATAGGAGGGCATTACTAGAGGCAGGGGTGAATATTTGATTTTTTAATTTTTAAAATATAAAAAAAGCCACTTAAGCAAAGGTAAACGGTGAAACCGTTTAATTTTTTGAAAATTGGTGTAATTAGAAGGTAAAAATGGAGTTTAGTGGTCTAATATACCAAAAAAAAAAATTAATGACCAAATTAGATAATTGTCAAAACTTTAATGTGCTAAAGTGTTATTTTTCCATTTTTTTTTCGATGATATGAAAAAACTGACAAGTGTAAGTTATATTTTTCAAATGACAAAATATATAAAAAAAAGACTTTAATTAGATATTTACAAACTTATATTTTAAATTTATTGTAATTAGTGTTTTATGATTATATTGCTATTTAATAAAACCAAATAGCTTATTGTAGCTTATTTTTTAATAAAATTTATAAAATAAATTATTAATAAATTAGCTTTTCAACTACCTCGGCTTAAATAGTTAGATTAACCACCATCAAGAATTCAAGATAGCTTAAGATATATAAATAATAAAATGGTTCAAGGTACAAATTCTATAATCTTCAAATTTAGAAAACCATTTTAAGAAAATAGTTAAATCTAACTTTATGATGCTTGAATCATGCAAGAAAATATGGTTTGATATTTGGTTTATGTAGTATATTTAAATTGGTTTGATATTTGGTTTATATGGTATATTGAAATTGGTCTAGCTATTCTAACAATTAGATTTTTCTTTGATATGGATTCTCTATTTCTAATGGTTTGTGGTACATAAAATACATTGTAAGGAAAAGAGTAGCATATACAAGTAATGAAAATCTCTCTCGATCTATGATACCTAAATGGAAGAAAATTCAGATCAAACCCTTATTTATCTTTAACCTAGGTTAATTTACTTCGCCTAAAAAGAGCAAAATGGATCAAACTCTTACTCTTATTATTGCTGATTTTATTTTTGTTAGGTTTAAATCCGACGAGAATAATATTCTACCCCTAACAATTCATTTGTTTTCAAACCGACCGATTTACTATCTATTATTTGATTGAATAATCCTTTATATTGTAATGGTTGAAGATTCAAATGGTTTGACAATTCTTCATGGAGAATTTATGGATGCATTTTATTGAATATTGCATTTTTGGTTCAGGTTTTTGATTTTTATCGGTTTTGATCATGTGTTTTTATTTTTTGCACACCACCCTTTTTAACTTTATTTCTTTTGTTAAATATTAGTGAAAAATACTATTTTACCGTTGGATCAAAATTGCAATTATTTTTTCAAAAAACTTCATTATTCCATTTTCAATGAACTTTAGGAGAACAATTCAAATTTAAGGACACAATGTTTTCAGATTCCTAAAATTTTCATTCAAAAAATTCTAATCATGTATGTAATGTATCACAAGAAACCAAAGATTGTATTTGGAAAATATTTCCTAAAATTTTCATTAAAAAATTCTAATCATGTATGTGATGTATCACAAGAAACCAAAGATTGCATTTGGAAAATATAACATTAATTTCTCTTCCGATTTCAATCTTATGCCAACTATTCCATTTAGATAAGGATAAACCATTATATCGTTAGTCTAGTAAAAGTATTTAACCTACTTGTTTGGTTGGATATATATATATATATATATATATATATATATATATATATATATATATATATATATATATATATATATATATATATATATAGTGAGCATAATTCCAATTTTTTTATAAAGTAAATAGTTCTTTTAAAACACCATATAATAGATTGTCAGGTCTATTTTATTTGTACTATAGACATTCAACCAGTGGCCATGTGATCCTATTCCGCTAGAGAATACGAAGGCTACCTCGAATATCAAAGTATAGATCCAAGTGATAATGTGATCCTGTGCCAGAAGAACTGAGCAAATGACGAGTGAGTATTTTTTCGGAATGTGTTGTGAATTGATTCTACAACTCCTAATATGTTCCAAGAAGACTTGGTTTACAAAAATCATTTTCGTTATCATAATGAAAGGTTATGATGGTCTTATTAAGGTGTATTTCAATCTATTGAAATTGGTATATGTGTCTCATATTTATATAGTCATGATGTTTATGACATAGATAAATTTGCATCAAATATAATTTGATTATTAAGGTGTTATGATCAGAACTATCAATTTAATAAAAGCTTATAGATTTACTTCATAAATGACATTTATGAGAAAATATTCTTAACATAGAATACATCATTTCAGAACATGAATATGAGCTTTCACTAAATGATAAGTAAATCCAGATTTATTCATAAATTTACATCTGTTACATGTTCCTATAAGAATAGGTACAAAACATCTTTTGTTCAAATACAGACTATAACAACACTTGTTATATCGTCAACACGAAATACTACTCGTTTGTAATCAGTTGAATATTTCTTCCACTCATCAGCACATAATATCAATTATTAGTGTCACTTGAAGTGTAAAATTGTAAAATACTCAAGTGAATGATGGAAAAATGAATACTTATATCATATAGATATCTTAATTCTTGGACAAGTAATACTTTCCCAGCTTGAGGAGATAATAAGAGCAATTCCTCTTTTATTGTACAGTTTCTTCCACAATAGAAACAATACTAATTATTTTGATAATTTCTTGATTTATGGGTTTATGTTGTATTTCCCTTAACTAAACTATAGGTCTATTAGAGTGCACAATCTCTTAGATCTTCCATTATTCATGATTGAACAAGTTTGAAGCACGTTCTGCTATTCATAATGAATATCTGCTTTACTTGATGAGACACTTTGTATGTTTTTGATATTTAACCAAGACTTTCTCCAAGTCAAGTTTAATTGTTCCAATATGACCATACAAATGATACCGAGTGTTCTTCAAAAGGACAACAATGACTTGCATTTTAAGAAAATGTTTTGTATATATGTTTTACAAATATGGTTATAAAAAAAACATGATCTCATGAATATTGCATGCATCCAACAATTCATTTATCCTTTTGTAAAATTCATATCACTTGTTATAAGATTCTTTAGGTACTAAATAAAACTTCATTTTATTTACCATTAGCCACAATCAATTATAAACTAAAATATGATATTTTAAAGTTTAGTCGCAGAACGGTTAAGAACCGGTTATAGCCTTAAGAAAACTTCATTTTATACTTAAGACTTGGAGTTTTGGATGATTTTTAAAATCACAATTTTAAATCTCCTTTTAACAATAAAAAATGACGACTTCATGAACTTGTAGAATAAACTCATTTTATTTTATAAACTAAATTTTATACATCTTATGATAAAAGTTACATTTTGATAAACCAAAACTTAGATGATGATACTTATGTTTTAAATCTCATTTGTAATGCATAAGCATAATATTAATATGTTGCGTTATGTTTAAAAACATTAATATCATAATTAAGTTTTGACGCAAAAGTAATCACAGTTTTATTATTTGCCGTTATAATACTATAAATCGATTTTAGTTTTTTTAACAAAAACTCCTTATTTATTATAAAGACATGAAGATTATATAATGTTTAAACACCTTTTTAAAAAATTTAAATATTTTGAAGTTGTCTATTTATAAGTTTTAGAATAAAACTATTTTCAACAAAAAATCGATATTTAACCGGTAACCGGTGAAAATGTTTTTATAAATATTCATTTATGAATATATTATGTTATCTTTTAAATATTTTTTACTGAAACTCTAAGTGATATTATATTATGTTAAAATGTTATTTGACATGTAAAACTCATTTTCATACATAAACATAACATACAATAATATAAAATAAACATCACATGCATGCATTATAATGTGTATAAACCAAGTCATGTCGAGTAATAATTTTTGTGAGCCATCAAAAAAATTATTAAGTCTTTCCTAAAGATCTTAAGGGACTCTTCAAAAGGTATTAAAGCTCCTACTTGCCAAGTCAACTCGTACTTGCAAAAAGACTTCAAGTCTTTATGTTGTGAAGGTTGGAACACTTAAACCATTAAGATTATAATTAAGTCCAAAACCAAAAGTAGAAGCTCATGGTTGGGATTATAGTCTCAAGTGGTTAAGTCTTCTTCAAAAAGGTCATTTCTTCATTTGTTACATTTAAAAATAAATACAACTAGTCTAACTAATTTATTACATAACATAAACAAATGAAAAAAGTACATATTTATCTATTATATTTTATAAATAAAAAAATATCAACCAAACACAACACAGAGGTCCAAATGACTTGTGTAAACACAACAACATATCAAATATTAATACAAACAACTATTTGTTTTTTTCTAAGACAACGTTTATATAACCAAAATGTATGAAAAATGGTTATATATAAAAATAAACAATTTTAAACAAGAAGTTGCCAAAGAAGACAAGTATGGATATTTCTTTACCAAAAGAAATCTATGTTTGTTTTCCAAAAACCAAAGATTATCAAACATAAAAAATCATTCTAACGTATAAAAAATGACTCTGATACAATTGATGAGTTTTGATACAAAATATAAGTGTGTTTTTCATAAAAACCGGTCAAGGGAAGCCTTAAAATAACAAGTTTATTTATGAGTTTATAACAAAACCAAACCATCTAGGATATATTTATAGTGATTAGAATGATATTAAAAACAACCACATAGTGTCTTAAAATGACAATCTTTAGAGCCTTTGAACCCACTTGGTTTTGGAGTGTTGATGAAGATAAAAAAAATCAAAGAGTATGATTTTCTCTACAAGTATCTATCATAAAGATTAAGACATTTGAAATGCCAGTTCCTTTTGTATAAAGTACTTCTTAAGCTTTTTAAGTGCTTAACTCAAATAAGCACTAAAGTAGAAGTACTTCTAAGCACCAACTTTTCAATATACTTCAAAAGACAATAAAAAGAGGGAGAGAAGAAGAGAATTCGTCCTTCATATGGAAGAGTAGAAAAAAAAACCAGTAAACACTAGCAAAAAACTTATGCAAAAGCGTTCATTTTATATTCCCATGCAAGACATACATTTACATTATAATAACATAAAATATTGGTAGCCTTTTAGAAGCATGTGAGACATAAGAACAAAGTTGACAAACAACCTATTCTCTTATAAAAATGATTTTGGTCATGCTTAAGAAGAAGACAAAATTTGTCTAGCTAGTTTATTAACCATGACATATCAACTTATTAACTTAATCATGGTTAATTAAAGTGTCCAAAACTTTGTATATGACTTAATAAATCATACCATATGATATAATAAGTAGTTATACTCTCGTTAATTATTATTTTCACAAAACAATAATCATTCCCTAAATAAATACAATAATTATTATTATTTATTAATAATCATATTAATATATATATATATATATATATATATATAGAGAGAGAGAGAGAGAGAGAGAGAGGTAGGTTGAAATGTTTTTCACATCTATTGTATGCTAGAATGCACCAATAGGAATTTAGTATTAATTATATCGATATTAAATGCTATCCGTACTTATAACTCATTTTTATGGATACTAATTAAATTCATCATTAATGTTAACAATCATATTCTTTCAGAATGAATTCATATCTAGAAGAATGATAGTGTATTCTAGTAGAATACACTATCGTTCTTAATATTCCTTGAAAATTTATTGTATTTTAAGTGAGTGAGTCCTGAAACAAAATACGAACTCATATATAAAAACCTAGATGCGAATTCATTCTGAAAGAATGTTATTGCTGACATTAATGACGGATTTAATTAGTTTCCATAAAAAGAGAATTATAATTATGGATATCATTTAATATACATATAATTATGGAAATAATTTAATATCTATATTTATTTAATTAAATAATTATCTAATTACTCAATTCCTATTGGTGCATTCTAGCACACAATAAATGTAAGAAACAAAATAACCTAGCCCTATATATATATATATATATATATATATATATATATATATATATATATATATATATATATATATATATATATATATATATATATATGGAAAGGATCAAATGAGAACACCTAAAAGGTTGAGAACGCGAGAAGAGTTCTGAACCAATCAATAGATAAGGGCATATAGGTAAACTTATCTTTTAATTAAATGATATTTTCCTAAATTTTTTGGGATTCTAATTGACTGTTACCAAAAAATATTTTTTTTTCCATTTTCTTTATATCATTAATGAAAGAGAAAAAAAATTATCAATTTAAAATGAATGTATCTTGCTTTACGTGATTATTATCCATAAATGAATAAATATAAAACTAATTTATTGAGTATAAAATCAATTAAAAATGTATAACAATTAACTAATTTTGTAATTTAATTTTGTCAAATAGTGTCATATTCATAACTGAAAATATCATGACTGGATTTGTCTTTTTTTTTTTTGTTCATGAATTGATATCAAAAATTGTTTTAAGAATTCATCATTTTGTTGCAAATGAATATGCCTTTTATTACAATCATAAATGAATACAACTCTAATCATACACAAATAAATTTACAAGAATACAAAAAACATCTAAATTCCTATATTTTCAGTAGTTATATTCATATAAGATTATAATGTGAATCACAGATGAATTACTACAACATTGTTTTTTTTTTCTTCATATTTTCTTGCTGCTATCATACATATATAAACGAAGAGGGGCGCCCTTGATCTTGCTATCAATTTCCATGCTTTAAGGTTATCCTTATTAGAAATATCAAGCTCTAAATTACACCTGTTCAAAACATAAATCATTAAGATATGAAATCATGTAATTATAATATACTTCTATTCATTGATGTTTAACTACAAATGAGACATTTGACATTGTATTCATATAAGATTACAACTGGAACTTTATCTAAAAAATATAGTTCTTGTCATTAACAATTAATCAATTCGTAATACCGATTCAGATCTATTACCCTCATTTTCTTTTTCCTTGTTCTTTTCAAATGAATCAACCAAAACAAAAACCAAACCCGTTTTTACCCTTCTTCTTCCTTCCTATCAAGTTATAGTCAAGAACAAATTTTGTTTTGTTCTCGTGATTTCCTGCAAACAAGAAATACAACCATTGGGATTATTGCTTCATCTTCTTCATATCAACTTCCAGCAAACAAAACACCAATCTAAATCTAGTAATATAAACCCATCGGTTTCTGTTGGAAAATCAAAGCCAAACACCCATCATTAAGCCCCATTGATTTACAGTCAAATTAAAAGTAAAAGAAAAAGAAGCGTTACCCGATGAACTGCCCCTGTCGTGACCCATCGATTTCTGTTGATAGATCGATGTTACTGCTTGTTTCTTCGTCTCCTCGCACCTTCCTCTTCTTCTATCGAGCACCACGACGAAAACCCTCACTGGAGCTGTTGTTTCTGCTTGCCTTGCTCCATCAGGAAAAATGTTCTCCCCTTCGCATATGCTACGGGAATCGAAGGAGAACTAGGCAAAAACTACTTGAGCAACCCTTGCTGCACTTACCGAGACCAATGATAATGGGAACATATCTTCATGGTGGGTTGTAGGTGATGCCCAGATCGATGATGGGGTGAGTTTTATGAAACCCTAAAAAGAAGAGGTGGAAATACACGATAGATTAAAGGAAATATATGAATGGGTGAGAAATTATAGGAGATAGTAAAGCTGAAATT